TAACCTAACAAAATAAACACTAAAATAAAATAAATTTTAAACAAATTAAAACATAAAAATAACATTTATCATTTCAATTTTGTTTAATTTGATGTACTAAAATAACTAACACTGAAATAACAATAAAAAAAAACTATAGAGAAAACTTCAGTAACATTATAAATGTCTTTACTTTTGATCAATTTAATGCAAAAATGACTAAAAATTACCGCTTCATATTTTTGTGGAAATCATGACTTTTTAGGATTCTTTGATGAAAAAAAAAGTTAAAAAGAACAATGTTTATTTCAAATAGAATTTTTTGTAACATTATAAATGTCTTTACTGCCACTTTCGATCAATTTCATGCATCCTTGCTGAATAAAAGTATTTATTTCTTTAAAAAAAAAAAAAAAAATAAATAAATCGTACTGACCCCAAACTTAGAAAAAATACACACACACATATAAAAAAAAAAAAACTACTAAAAATCACCAAAACACACATCAAAACGACTAAAACGAACTACAATTAAAATAAAAACACAAAATATTAAAAAACAAAAAACTATAAGAGTATCTCAATGACACTAAAGTAACATTACACAACACCTTTCATTTTGCTGTTACTCGCCTCATTCACGTCATGCTATAAAATCTCAATGAGAACACAATAAGCTCAAAAGAGGCAAAAGAGACTCTGCATCCCTCTGAACCTTCATCTGCTGATATTGCTTTCTGAAAATGCTTAACACACCATTTAATCTCTTATTTTGCTATTTTTGGGGCTTTTTTTGGTTTATTTTTGTGAAACTAATAATTTTCTCATCCAATTTTACTTTTAAGGAGGCTCTGCCTTTCTAGCTTCCTCAGAGAAAACGCCCCCAGGGCGACTCTTTCCGGCATTCTTCCACGTGTCATGGGCTGGGGAGTCTGGGATAGATGATGCCACGTGTGATGAATGTCTCCCATATATTCACACTCTCCCAAAAGTACAACACACACACAATCACTCAGGTGTTTACAGGCACACACACACCTCTTATTCCACCAAAGTCAGATATTGTTAGACTCAGACGGGCCAAAAAAAAGCCTTGTATACACACACACACACACACACACACACACACTCGGTGTTGCATCCACACACACCTTATTCCACCAAAGTCAGACATTGTTAGACTCCGACTGCCCAAAAATGCCTTGAATGAAAACAGGTGTGGTTTGCAGTACAGTCTAAAACCTTAAAATTGGCTTTATATATATATATATATATATATATATATATATACACATTTTTATATCTATATCATAAGTATATATATATATATATATATATATATATATACACATTTTTATATCTATATCATAAGTTTGCTGTCTGTAAGACTTTTTGAAAAGGATGGATCTATTTGATACAGTAAAAAACAGTATCATTGTGAAATATAATGACCTATGATAAAATATTTAAATATATTTAAAAATGTAATTTATTCCTGTGATGCAAATCTGAATTTTCAACATCATTACTCCAGTCCTCAGTGTCACATGATCCTTCAGAAATCAGTCTAACACGCTGATTTGAAACATTTCTTATTATGTATTATCACAGCTGTGGTGCTTCATATTTTTGTAGATCTTTCATAAATAGAAAAAAAATCAAAGGACCAGCATTTATTTAAAATGGAAATCTTTTGCATTAGGGGTGTGCCTGAAGAGTAAATCCATATTCGGAAAGGCACGGAAAACTAATAACGCATTCTACGGAGCTACTAAATGGACATGGTTAGCCGCTTACATTACGGTACATAAAATTTCACTAACCACATAAACAGAGTAAGTACAGATGACTGATAAGATGACAGCAAATGATCTGCAGATCCTGAGCACCACTGACAAATATCTAATCTTATCAAATGTGTGGTAAGTACTGCCGCTCCATAATATACACAGAGTACGTGTGATCGCGAATCTCAAAAGTCAAAGTAAAAAGCGAGCACACATTCAAAAGCGATTTCAATGCCCCGCATATTAATATCAACTCCCAGATGTTCGCAATTTATATACAGTATAATAACACAACGATATGATGAAGCCGACTCATAATCGTGATGTCTGTCATCCAATCAGCCCAACCCTATTTCAAACTCGAAAATTTTGAACAATACTTTATTTCTCATGGCATCACAAATCGCAGGAAACAGTGACATAAATCCTCATAAATAAAAAAGACATCAAAATACTGTAGACACTCAATTCCCAGAGTTAATTTCAGCACCCTGATCTCACAAACGTAACTTTTCATAATATACGCAACCTAAAAGCAGGTTCTCTCGTGGGCGACATAATCGTTTTCTCCATGTTCAGTAGCGTGGAAATATAGAGCAGTATATGAACACTTATTCCACACACAAAACAAACATAATGAGAGCTCAAACATTATAATGTGCAAAGACTCCCTTGTTTTTCATTGTGTGGAGAGAATTACTGGTGAGGAAATTATGATATGATGAGAAAGTTTATTGACCATGGAAGAGGGGAATGTCCGTTTTGTAACAGACCCGATTTTATTAGCATTCATTAGCAGTGTTTCGGAAGCTACATTGTTCGAAACCAAGCTATAAACTTCCTATAACTCAAATGAGACAAACCACATTTTATCTATCCTTTAGATATTCCCATGCTAAAAAAATAACAGCTTAAACTAGCTTAAAACAGTCTGACCAGCTGACATTTAAAAAAAAATATCAAAACAGATAAACTCAACTTGCTTGGTCTAGCTGGGAGAACAGCTAACTGCCTCTGTTTTTAGCTAACTACCACAGTTTATATAATTGTTCTATTGTAGCTACAAAAAAAGTCACTACTACACTAAAGCTATAATTGTATTAATTAATGTAAAAATCACCCTGAAATTTAGCAGTTTGCCATGCTACATCATGATTCGGCTAATCACTGGGAAGCTATGCTAAATGCTACACAGCTAGTGTCACTGTTCAGATAAATGACGTTAAGTTCAATATTATTTTCACACAGGGTTTTTTTTTCCTCAAACTGATTCTGGATCTTAAATTAATAATTAATAAGAATATTATAATTAATAATTGCTTTAGTCAATAATTATATCAAAATAGTGCATTGTTAGCTTAGAAACACTAACACTAAAGCTAAAAAGGAGTCTTTCATATGATTAAAATCTAATTATTTTGCCAAATCAGTCACTTATGAGGTTTCATTTCAGTTAGATGCTCTCTTAATCCACCTTTTCCAACAAACAACAGATCATAAGTCATTTATTTCAAATGGAGAGACATTTGCGGCTAGACTGTGCAACCACCAGGCAGGATTTGATGTACGCTAATCAAAATGATTTGCACTAAAAGTGAGAATTAGAATTTTTTGCAACAAAACATTCATACATTTATTCATTTTACAAAGTGGAGGAAACTTCACGACTAATTTGAAAGCTGGCATCAGAAGGCAGCTGCCTATATAGGTCAGCTCTATAGGTTTTGTAACAGTACACTGACAGATTAGAATAGGGTAACTAAATATGTACGGTCAAAATGGTCTCATTTACTATTTTCACCTCCCTGGACCATATCCTTAGACAACCCCACCCTAAAAGACAAAAGAAATACACCCAAAGTTGCACCTGAGGGCAAAGTAAACACAACCTGCTTTAAATGCACATCTACAAGTTCACAGGACCTGTGTGGGCATAAATCAAGCCCATTCTGCCAACACCAGACGAACAGGCAAATACTTCAGAAGTGTTAAACAGAAGGAGAATAAATTATATTGATTTCAGGCTCGAGGCCACAGAGGCCCAAAAGTCTTGAGGCAGGTCACATGGTTGTGACTGACTGGTGCTAATTACAGAAACCTCCCAAAACCATCAGTCATTAAAGAAGAGCACTTGTTTGCATACTGCTATGAAAGTTTGCAATTAGAGATGCACTACAATGGATTTTTTTTTGCTTTACCTGAAAAACCGAAACAGAATTTTTTTTTTCATTTAACAAGAAATCAAAACCAAAACCAAAACTAAAGTTAATGTAATAATCGAGTAATTACATTTATTTAATAATCAACACTCAATTAAAAGTACATATAGAGTAGTATATAACATTATATAAATGACATGATTATGTTTCTACTCTAATTTGTTGAAATATAAACATTTAAAGGGTGGTTCACTGTTTTTTTTCTAGGCTTGATTGTGTTTATGGGGTGCAGTCTAACATGTGTTAATGCTTCTTTTTTTTTAAAAACGCATGACCCGGGAAGTAATTTGTTGTAGCCCCTACCAGCTGTTTTTGTAGGCATTAAACTGCCAGAATTTTAAAAGACGATATCTCCGTTTGCATTGAACTTTCAGCTTCGTAACTTTGCAGATATTGTTTATGCTCAAACAGCAACATTACACACTAACTAACGTTAAAAAAGTGAAATCGCAATCAACCACCCCTTTAAATGGCGGCTGTAATAAAAAATTGTTTTCATGACAGATTCATTCAAACTTAGATTAAATAATGACAACTAATAAGGTCAAGGAAAAATTGTATGTAATGTAATTCATATGTTTAACAAAAAGCTCTTCTCTAAAGTTATTTTTTTCCTAGCTCAATACTGAGTTTATGTATGTTTATGTGATTTTGCTGAGGTAAATGTAACATTACATGACATATTGTTTACAAGCTCTTTATTGACGTCTTTTTAAAAACAAGAAATCAATACTGTTAATCAATCACTAGCACCACACATCTGACATGTTTATCTGTTGGAGTTTATCCGCGTTGTGTGCACAGAATAGACATGGGCACACTCAAAACATGAGAGAAATGCTAATTTTACGCTACTGCTAGAGTCAATGATTTCGGCCCTCCAAAACTGTTTTGGCCAAAACTGAAAATTTATTTTGGTGCAACAGCATCCAGGATTATATTTGCATTCCCAACAAAGTATGACAAGTCTATTCCGACAGCCTTCAAAGAGATGAAATGAGAAGGTTGGACGTACTTGACATTGGTGTTGGTGCAGATGATGTACTCTATCTCGTCTGAATAAGGGTTCTGGAAGGTGAAGCTGCTGGTTCTGATGAGCATCCACTCTCGGTTCTTCATCCGGAAGCGGTACATGACTGAGAGAACCTGCCCTTTCAGCTTGACCACCTAAACACAACAGAAGAACACGAGTTCACATCACATGCATTTACATCGTAGAAATTTAAATCTGTAAGAACCAGCAAATACAAACAAAACTAAAACAGAAGTCTAGTTGCGCCAACAAGTAACAGCATAGCCTAGTTATGACGTAACGTCACAACTTGCCCACTACTAAATATGTTTGCATTTCATTATTAAACTTTAAATGTATCTCTGTGTGTAAACTATATATGTACAGAAGCTTTTGACCAGAAGAAAATGTTGGAATAAAACAGTAGGTTTATTGTATTGCATCAATAAGCTCATTTAGACATATATCATGAAGGTTATACTTTTTATGAGAGAGAACATTGTGTAAATAAACGACTTGATAGTAACTGTTCAACACAAACTGGATCTTAAGAGTGCACATACCAAAAAATAAATGAATCACTTTTTTGCATTTATTTACTGCTCCTTTTTTGAATGCTTCTGAATGTCAATAACAATGAAATAACGTCATGGTAACATCAAATTATGCAATTACATATTACATTGTGGAGAACTTAAGGCCTTTTAGATAACTAATGGTGCAAACTAATTAAGTACAGCGTTAGTAACAAACTAGCTAGTATTTATTAAGCCTCTAATGTGGACTTTATTATTTAAGGAAGAACATACAAATGGCTGGTGCAACCCTACTGGGGTCTTTATCTTAATGCTTGACATGAGTGAACAATGACTGTAATCAGTGAAAGAATTAGCAAAATATGACAAATCGGTTCCTACAGCATATACCAAACCTTGTCGAGCGCCAAATGTGAACAAAAACTGGCTTTAGGAATTAGGAACATGAGGAATATTACATGCTTTATGCAAGCATGATAATCTGTCCCTCATTGATGCTGGTGACATGAGTGATTCAATTCAGAAAACAATCAAACACGATGCACTACAGACACCGTCAATGACTAACAAAGTTTAGCTCAGTGGAAAATCTACCATCATTGGTTTTTCTAGGATGCATAAGGGTTTTTGCCTTTCAGAACAAGCAACACATGAGCAATATTCCTCACATTACGATGCAAAAAAAATATGTAAAAGGAACAAGATCTCAATTTGTCTTTTGTGACAAGTAATTTTGAGCTAAGGTTGGACTCTGAACCCCATCCACATGCTCTCCACACAGTCACCTCTATTGTCACTTAAAGCAGTGTTTGCCCATCCAAATACAGAGATTGCTTTAAATAAAAAAAGCTGTGTTCAGACAAAACAACTTTCCACTCAACAGAGCATGAAAGACAACGAGAAAGATCTTCAGAGTTCAAAAAAACCTTATAAAGTATCTGACGAAAATGGCTCTCTTAAACAAACAGCACAGACAGCCACACTTCAGGTGAGTAATAGAAATGCAGTGAGTTAAAAGAAAAAGAGAGAGAAACTTGACTTTTTTGGATGTATATCCAGCTTTGAAAGAGGAGAGAGGATATGGGATATTATTCTTGGCGACAAGAGGCCACTTTCCTTTTCGGCTTGAGAAAGGACCCTAAGATCTCAGGAGGGAAAGAGACAAACATTTTAACTTCTTAAACAGATCCCAGAGTTAATTGTTTCTCAAACCAAACCTGAAGTCACACGACTCGCATCAAGGCTTCAATGCACCTCTCAACAGAATCACCTCGCACTGCTTTGACACGAAATGAGCTGGAAACAGAGTCAATGAAGGGAAATGTTTCGCTGCTTGGTAGTAAGAAACTGAGAGTGCATAGTTAAACAGTAAACACCTGAACTGGAGCTGAGAACAGAAAAACACCCTAATGATTGATTTTAGACATCACAGAAAGGATAAAAAGCTCATTGACAATGTTTTCGAAGCTCTCAGAACGCTACAGTTTAATATATTAGGAAACATCAATGTAAATCATATCCTTTTATTCTGTGACGAGATTAAACTGCAAACCTTTTTTTTTTTTTTACTTTTACTGTAATCTGATGTAATTCCGAGAAACAGAATGTTCAATGACTTTGATTAGGGACTCAGGAATATAGAAATTTTAGCCAATACTGATAATTATTTGGATTTTAAAGCCAATAACTGATATATATTGACGGATAACAGATACCAATCTACATTGTGAGACTGATAACAAAAATATATGCTCATCTTTAAAGTTCAGATCTCAATCAGTGTCATTTTAGTGTTATTTATATAATACTACAGTATTTATTAATATGTTGAATTAGCTTTTATTTTTATATCAGTTTTTTTTTTGCTTTATGTGCTTTTGTCATTTTTATTAGCTTTTGGATTCTTAAATATTTACATTCTACTTTAATTAAACTTTATTTATGTTTTAGTAATTCTAGTACATCAGGTTATTTTATTTCAGTTATATGCCAAGGCAACAATTCCAATTTCTGACAGATAGATTAGATTTCATATCTAATATTGTGTTACCTAATATTAATACTTTATTTCAGCCTGATTTCAATTAAACACTGCAATCTATTTGCTTCTAAATGACCCCAAACATCATGAAAAGGGAAAAACTGCTTTTAATTTACAACAGGTGCAACTGCAGAAAAGTATTAATTTCTATGGCAATAAAGAAATTATGCATGCATGTATATAACAAAGAACAACAATCTTAATGAATAAGCATTTTATTTCATTTGTGTTTAAAACCAGCAGGCCAACTAGAATGAATGTAGTCCTATAATTTATTGGCTTAAATACACCTATTTTACTGACGTTACACTGATATACAGTATTGTGCATCCCTGGCTGTGATTTATCCACTTGGAATTGATTGGATTGTGAATGAAGCTGGGCGGTTGAAGGTGAGATACTGAAAAATAAGAGGGATTAAGTATTTTTAATGGTAAAGTGAGTTATTAAATCAGATTAGATTCAATTATAAAAGCAGGAACATGTATTAGAGGGTCAATTTAAAGTTTAAGTTGACTTTAGGGAAGCCAGATAATTTTGGATTGTGAAATCAGGGCAGGATCTTAGATTTATATCTCTCTACGGTTTTCTTTTTCCATTCTTTTATGACAAATGGTCTCTTCATCTTCACGCGGTAAAGAATCTGTCAAGTAAGAATCCAGTAGTCCACAACATCGAGTGATTTCGAGCAACCCTGTGAATGTATATTGTTCTAGCCTCTGACATCTGCCGGGACTCAGTATCAAAACTACAGGCCAAGAATAACACGCTTTCAATGTCTCGCTACACATAAATTGTCGGCTTTTGTTCCACTTGGCTTCAAAAGTACAAGATAAGACGCAGATAAGACTCAGAAACAGGTGTGTGTTTGCTGACGCCGCCACGTGTGTGTGTGTGGTCTCGACTTTCGAAGACGTCCAGTTATCTGAAGGCTTTTCTGGATGTCAGCCAGAGGGGTCTTTATCAGCCGTCAACAGACCTACGCAGAGAAACAGGTGAAAGTACTTTGACAAATCTCTTTGTGGCGTACCTGACCACTCAACCTTGGCCTTCCGGGAGAAGTGAGGCGGAGGATTTGAGGGGCTTTTAAGAAGCGAAGCACGTAATATAGAGGGCACGATCATCTAGGGAGTAAAAACACAGCACCCACCCTTCAAGTGCCCACAATATCATCCCATAGGGTGGAATACCAACACACACACACACACACACACACACAGTTGGCATAAATGTGTGTGGATATCAGGATGTGAAGAGAATACTGATGATAGCTGTAAACCCCAAGACGGGAAGTTGAAGACAAAGACAAAGGGGCCAAAAAAGAGCAAAAGCTCAGGGAATAAAGAGCAGGATAAAAGAAAAACAGAGTTTTTGTAAAAGACCAAAGATAAGGAGACAGGATGAGGTAAAGAGCAGGAACAGAGGTCATGCGACAGGAGAAGCGAAAACTAAAACTTTTAAAATTAATTTTCACTCACTGAAATAAAGATGAAATAAAATAAAATATGAATATTAGATGGAAAAAAGTTATATAAAAAAAAAAATCTTGTCAGTTTGAAGTATTTAGTTACCAAGGCAACATTTATATTTTTGATTAAATTGAAATAGCAAAATTACTAGAATTGAAACTGAAACAAAAATTAAAGTTAAATAGAAAAATTAAAAAACAACAACAATTGCAAATGAATTTAACAAACATACTAAAATTAAAACATATAAAATCTAATTATGAAATATTAAAACCATTAAGAAACACTACAATAGTACACAAATAACATAAAAAGAGACAAAACTCCAGAAAGATAATAAACAAACTATTAAAAACCATTTTCATTAATTGAAATAATGCAGAAATTAAATATATCAGATGAAAAACTTAGTTGCCAATGCAACGTTTCTAATCTGTTTAAATCGAAGTAATAAAATGACTCGATTGAAAACTGAAACTATTTCAATTAAAGCTAAATAGAAATATTAAAAACTAGTAAAAATGACAAGACAAATACTCAAATTAAAATTGAAAATATAAAAAGAAAAAAATCTGAAGAAACACTATAATAGTATATAAATAATTCAAAGAAAAAAAAAATACCAGGAAACACAAGGAAAAATGGGCTTAAAAAGACCAAAAGCATGAGCAATAACAAGCAGGATAAAAGAAAGATTTTGTAAACAACCAAAGATATATAGATGAGGTAAAGAACAGGAACAGTGACCTGACAGGAAGAGCAAAAACTAAAAATTTAAAAATTTAAAATTTAAAAATAAAATCTACAAATATGAATAAACACTATAATAGAACATGAGCAACACATAACACAGAAAACAACGAATAAAGAAGCAAAATGTCAGACAGGAAGTTAAGGGTAAAGAAAGGGGGCTTAAAAAGACTGAACGTCAGGAAAATAAAGAGCAGGATACAAGAAAAACAGCGGGTTTTTGTAAAAGACCAAAGATAAAGAGATAGGAGGAGGTAAAGAGCAGGAACAGAGGTGATGAGACAGGAAGAGAGAGAGGAGGAGGTCAAAAGAACTTCTGAAGAGCACCAGCTTGCGGTTTAATTGGCAACGGGATTCAA